TGCTCAGTTCCAGATGACTGGGGATGCAGGACTATAGTGGATAACCTACTGGGATATGAGGCCGGGCGAGAAGGCAGCCAACACAACCAACATTTGTACCCTGCGCCCGCGCGCACCTNCGCGGTCTAGCGCGCCCCTGCGCCAGTTGCCGTGGCACGTCTTGCTTGAACCCCGCCGACCAAGCCGGGTTGCACCGAGCCACCGGCCAGTTCACTAGTAAACCGCCGGTTCAGCCGGACCGGTCCGGGAAAGCCCATGCGGTTCATGAATTTCCAGTTCGAGTTCCGAGCAAGTCGGAACTTAAACATTTTTCTTAAGACATTTGAACAATCATGCACGCAACCAACTAAGTCCACTCTCGAGATAAGGTAACATAGAAAATAATGGAATAAAACATGCATAGTCTTAAGTCTCATGATCTCATACAAGTGAAAATGCGGAAGCTAAGATAGTTCGAAATCATATTCAAACCCACACATACTCTAACTAATTTTTCGAAAAACTTTATCTTTCTCGCGGGATGCTACTTAACTTACTCACTTACTCACTTACTTATCTCTTTCTTAAGACATTAAACAATCATGCACGCAACCAACTCAGTCCACTCTCGAGATAAGGTACCATGGAAAATACTGGAATTAAAAATGCATAGTCTAAAGTCTCATGATCTCATACAAGTCTGAAAATGGGGAAGCCAGCATAGTTCAAAATCATATTCAAACATACACATAGTTCGCAACATGTTCAAATATTCTCATGACCGGATCAAGACTAGTTACACACCATTAGGCGCCCACGGACTATTCGATAAGAGTATCAAACCACGTACTTTTTCTTATGATTTAATCAATGTTCTGAAAACTGGACTGGACTGGCCGGTACGACCGGTTCGACCAAGAACCGACTAATACACCGGTCCGATTTGAGGTATGGAACCGCCGGGGCACAAAACCGGCTAAAAACCGTTGCAACCGGCTAAAACCGATAAAAATGTGAAAACAGGTGGCGGTTAGTCCGACCGACCGATCTAGTATTCCACTTTCAAAAGTGGTTGTTGTAGTGTTAGTTAAATAGCTGAATTGTTTTGTTTGTGTCCAATGTGGAACCTTTACAAATACATGTTAACTAAAATTATTGGGCCGTATTACCTTGTTGGGCCTTAGTAATCTGTCATCTATTTTGAACATAAAACGTGGGCCTTATTAATCTGCCATCTATTTTGGCCAGGAAACGTGGGTATAGACAATTAGACATAGAGAAATCTTGTGAAGAACTAACTAAAATGTTAAATATGTCTTTTTTTTTTCTAGAAAAAAAAAAAGAACTAACTAAAATGGCTCATCTGATAGTTTAAAAAAATAGTTGTTAAATTTTTCATGACACAAATTTCTCTTCCATTATAATCGCATTAACTTTCATGAAAACAATATTACTTATTAACATTATAATATCGTGGTGCTAAAATAATTTGACTATATACGATTCTTTATTTATTTTTTTCTTTAGTTATTTATAAACATGTCATTATACATTATAAAATTAATGATAGAAATATATATAATTATATATTATATATTTAAAATAAATATAAATAATATATGAACTAAACCGATTCGATCACTAGTCCGACAAGTAAACCATTGAATCGATAGCTTCACCGATTCGATAACTGGTTCTGTTTTGAGAATCTTGGATTTAATTAACATTAATTTTCTTGTGTTCACTAATATGGGAATAACCATGATTGGCCATAACTTTCATTGAAAAAGAAAAAAGTATTTGGGTTCAAATTCACTTCTGACATTTTTATTAATTCATCTTTATTCCTTTTTTTTGGCTTCTTATTTTTCAATGTTTTTGCCACATTTTTATTCTTCTACTATTGCTGAACTGCTATAGCAACTCATCATCACAAATACTTAACAAAAATACCAGCTCTCTTGCTTACTTAAATAAGATTTCCCCTTTCCAACTCCCATTTTCAAAGAAACTAACCACATCTTCTACTACAAAAAAGATCTAGTAGATTCATCATATCTTCATTCACTTGACTCTTTTCAGCCTCATACGTATCATGTTCGACATAAACCGTGTCATGTGACATCAAAGTTGGAATCAAAGATGGTCCCAAAATGAATGGACATGGATGTTTTGACAATGCACATAATTTTTCCTTTCTCTCATTCGCATAGATATGTTTTTCTTTTCATACCTACATGTACATATCTTTTGTTTGTTTCACATTTTTTCGCAACCCTTTCCATTGGCATAGTTTGTTTTAATGCACTGAACCTAAACGCGGACACAAACATGTGATCGACACCACTAAAACATGAAATGCTTCTTATCGGTATTCTCCATCCTTTGAACGGCAAGAAAAAATAACTCCCAAAAAAAGCCTAATTTCTCCGACATGCTTTGTTCGTGTTTGCAACATTGTCTTTGGTCCCCTTAGTTTATGCCAAGAAACATCATTGTTATCGCTTAGGGTGAACATTACTCTAGTTGTCGCGCATAGATTTTTTGGTTTCCCCCTTTTTTTTTTTTAATGATTATCAATGGTAATGTTAACGAACTCGTTTGACCAAATTAAATCTTTTTCTTTCTGTAATATTTTTAACCTTTTCTACGGAACTTGTTCTTGCGTGTTGTTATATCGAAATTTTGCTTGTAATTGAAATTGGACTAATTAGCGAAACAAGGCGGACGGTTTTTCTTTCCATCAAGAAAAGGATAAGAGAAACAACATTTTTTCCTGGACAAGTAGGATGTCTTTGAGGGGTTGGTCCCCTCAATCATGGCTAATTTCAGATAAATTGTGACTCACAATTGTCCTTGTTCATGCTTCAAAGGATATGGATACAGAAGAAAGACAACAAAATGTTGCACATATGAACAAAAAGGTATGGTGTTTCTATGGCCTATTTTCCTAGCAACATTTCTTTCTATGGGACCTTCCTTTGTCTGTGGTTGTTTTCCATTTGTAGTAAACTTAGTTAGTTGAATAATTATTAGAAAAAAGATATTGGCTTTTTTAGTATCTGATTTGCCATAGCATTAGATAAGAGTTAGTGTACAAGTGAAATATGTTCAGGGCGAAAATTGCCAAAATGGTCCTCTAACTTTTACCGCGGTGAAAAAATCGTCATTTCTGATTAAGTTGTTGTCAAATTGTACTATTCCGATAGAATTTGAAATGGATGGGACTATTGTGGCAATACCGTAATTCTACTTTTTCTTAACCAAAAGAACCTATGGGTTGACCCGGAGTAAATGGGTCACTCGGACCGGTTGACATATAACACGGTCACACGATTATTTTTAGTTTTAATATAAAATAATGTATGTATATTTATGTGATAAATATTTACGAGAATATACAATATTATTAATATTTTGATATATAAAATTTTTACCTATAAATTATTTATTTTTATTTTATATATTTATAAGATATAATTAGTTTTTATATAACTTTTACTTTACTAAATTTAAGTATCCGGATTAAGAATTGACTCTGTGATTCAATGGTTAAACGTGTGTCAATGACCCAAAAACATTGATAATAAATGACCCAAAGACATTGATAATAAGTAGAACTCAAACTAGGCATCATCCATGTAAAGCAATATTTCGTCAACAAGAGATTTAGACCAAAATTCAAGAGGGAAAGAATGAAATTGAAAATATTAAGGTGATGTTTGGATATAAGATTTTTTTATTTTGTTTGAATTTTTGGGTTTTTTAAAAAATATAGAATGGTTAGTCGTTAGTGAAATTTTGAATTTATATTAAAATAATATCTAAAATAAAATAATTAAAGTTGATTTGATATAAAAGTAGGAGAGAGATGATGTGGAATGATGGTTAATGCAATTATGTGAGTGAATGAATAGTGAATTAAAGTTCATGTAATGTGTAAGAATGACAATCAAATTTTTGTTTGTTTGATATATCAGAAGATTTTTTAAAAGACGAGTTTGACTTTCATAATACATAATAGCCCACATACATAAGAAAGCGAGTTTTAGGGCGAAGGACGAAAAATCAAGTGCGTAAACGAACTTCGATGGTACTAAACTTCATGGATACGAATACCTCAATAAAATAAATCCAATAATGAGTCAATTGACTAAAATCGATGCAGGACGACGCGAGCACTAAGCCGAAAAAAAAAAAAAACAATCCAAATTATTTTGTATATAAAACCGAGTAAGCAAACGAATTCTGATTGGGCTAAAAGTTTTCAGTAATACTGTGTCAATGAGAAAAATCTAACGATGGGTCATTCGATTCGATTGAAATGAACTCCGAACAACACCAGAATCAGGTCGGCTAGGAAATAGTGAATTTTTTTCCCTTCCCTTATAGTTATTTTGACATAGGAATTTTGCACAATGCATTCCAATAGTGCTGGCTATTGATGTATTTTTCTCCTATGATAGTTATAGCTAGCTTCTATTACACTGAAAAAAATATTATAAATTAATTTATAATTTATTTAATTAGATTATAAGTTAATTATATTTAAATAAGTCTTGTAGTACGAGTTTTTTCTTCTTTTTCGCTTCGTTCCGTCATTGACCCTCTCCTTTCTTCCCTCTCTTTTCCTTCACTTCGCTTCGGGGAAAGAAGGGAGAAAGCAAGAACGATCAAGTCGAGCAGAAGCGCAAGCAAAGAAGCGAAGTTTTTTCAATAAAACTTAAAATTATGTCATATATGTTAAAAAACTTACAATTAATCTACCAAACTTGGTCGAAGCCAGTCAATCTTCAGCTTTTTACATCATTTATTTATTTATTTTGATTTGAGGAAAGTTCAGTTATTTACTGTTTTTTATGGCAACAATGATCTCATGCAAGAGTGGTTGACGACCAAGAACCAATGGTTAGGAATTATCTTCACAAAAAAGTTTGAATAAAAGTTGGCACAAAGGAACAAAGAAAAAAAAATAAATAAAAGGGGAGAATGGAACATGTGAGGCTCTAATTGATAAGGCCTTATGCCTACCATCAAAAGAAATAATGAAAAATGCCAAAAGTATCATCATCCATTTATCCTCATTTCTCTAGTAATATATGAAAATGATATGTATATTTACTCCTCCAAATTCCAAACATTCATATTTACAATCGGGAGAAATTTTATAGCTACAAATAAAAGATGGAACATTTAAAAAAAAAAAATGGTGTAAAATTGGTCTAACACTAAAACTAGCTAGAGGTTCAAAATTAAATTACAAAATTCCTTGGATGTTGATTTTCTTTACTATATAGTATATATGTAACATTTCTATAATGTCTAGAGGTAATTTGAAAGTTTATTTAGGGGGAAAGTATAAGACATGGTGATTCAAAAGGACTTATAAATTCTGAAAACCTTCTTGAGGCTTTGTAATTAGGCCAAACCTCATGGGAGGTTTTGTAAATCTCCCAAGAAAGATGGGTTTAAATCTTAATTTCTTGAGCTTTCAAACTTCATATCCAGCTTGCATTTGTCTGACATGTTCTCTTTCACATTCTTCTTCAATTCTCAACAAAAAGGGCATCTCCTCATTTTTCTGAAATATACCGTATGAACATAAATCATTAATAACGCTAATCTATATATATATAATTGCTAGCTAATCCCATTTAATAAAACATTTAATAAAAATATTTTCACTTTCCCTCCAAAAGGAGTTACATTTTTTTAATTAATTACTCATTAATCTCACATTTAAGAAGGTTTTTTATAGTTAAATTTAATTAGTTAATGACTAAATTAAAAAAATTTATTTTAATTAATCCCATATTTATGTTAAGTACAGTATTATCTTAATATCTTATCAGTTATTCAAAAAAATAGTAACTTTTTTCAATAAATTTTATAAAAATTAGTCAAATGTGCTTATATTCATATAAATCAGAAAAAAAAATTAAATCTTAGATATATGAAAAGAACATCGTTGAAATAACTTGAATCCGCAAGGGTAATTCTATACTCATTATCAATTACTTTAAATTTTTTGTTTATAAAATTAATATTATATTTATTCATTTATATTTAGATGGTATTTTTTATTAAGAAGCAAGGACAATCTCTATCAATGAGTCGAGGACAAACAATATAAAGAAGTGTTTCCTATGCTATGACATGATCAATAAGAGTCAAAGACAGTCTCTGTCGCACGTCGGCTTACTACTGAAGAGCTCTGGATTTAGTCATGAGCAATTATATGTGGCGCTTTTTAGAGTTACGAGTCAGTGGGGTTTGAAGATTTTGATTTGAGCTGAGGGAGATTTTGACGATAGAAAAACTACGACGTTGTTTTATAAAGAAGTGTTTAAGAATATTTATATTTTTTTTCTTAATTTTTTTCAATGAATTTGTTATGATTTTTACTATTATTTATAATTTTTATTATTTTTTCATGTATCATATAGTTTTCCGTGCAAATGCACGGGACAAAAACTAGTCAACATTTAAAAGTTTAAGAAAATACGAAAAACCAAAATTAAATTAGTTTATCTTTAATAGATTATAAATTATTTAAAGCATTCAAATACGTTATAATAAATAACACACCTATTGATCTTTTGCAGTAGAGAATAGCTTCATTAATCGAGTTATCGGCATCGAACCAAACATTACTTGAACGAGACGGGCTTATATTAGGCGAAGCTCGTGGGGAGATTTTCCCGCTCTTTGCCTTTTTCAACCGGTGAAAAAAGTCGATTTTTTTCTCGATTTTTTCGACATCGGCCCATTCGAAAACAGAGTAAGCAGAGCTTGGCCTTGGGGAAGCCTCACATGAGTTATTCCAACTCTTAACTTCTGATACCTTTCTGTCGAGATCGTCCACTCGATTGCTCTTTCTCGACGACATCTTGCATAGTGGCCTCACAAATCCAATACACTTTTGCAAAATCTTTTGTGATGATTTTCTCCATTTTCCGAGCGTGTGGCGATTGTTTTCGGTCACAAATGGGGAAATTGGAGAATAAAGAGGAGTTGGAGGGGTCGAAATAATATTTGACGTTTTTTGGGCCTCCGGTTGTGATTTCTCCATGTATACAGGCTTGATTTGCCCGTCGGAAAAGAGTTCGTCCGCGTGAATAAGACAACTGGTGGGAGATGATGATGTGGTTATCGAAAAATCGAAGTCGAAACTTATTTGTTTTTCGGAATTAGTGCTGGCGAATTTCGAACCGAGGAAAGTATCTAAGGATGATGCTGGATTTTTGTGTGTCAACCAGCTGTAGGAAAAACTCTCTGTGGCTAATGGCTGAAAGTTTTCTTTCTCCATAGTGAGATTAATTAGTGAGGCAAAAGGCTCTCAGGTGGTGTTTTTGAATTCTGAGTAATGAAATTGGAGAAGTGGTTTTTACACAGCTTTTGTGACATATATATATATATATATATATATATATATAGCAACATTTGGGCATGCCCATGATAGAATGTCTTTTTTTGTACATGGTTGGGAGGATAAATTTAAATTTTACACATGACTCTTGTTTCATGCTACTCGAATTACTTGAACTAGGAAGATTTTATATTGGATTATCCTGTATAAAGATTTTTTTTTAATATATATTCTTTAAATCGAACCAGATAAGCCGGTCGTATTTAGAACCGGTCTTTAATCTGTCGAACTGACCCAAAATGGGTTGCGGAAGAACTGGTCTTCAATCGGTCGAACTGGTCCAAAACTAGCTGGTTGTACTGTTTCTCGTTTTATTTCTTTAAACTAGTTAATATTTTAAAATATTTTTAATATACATATAATATTTAAATATTTTGGATATGTATAAATTATTATATCACTTAGTTTGGGCATTTGAATGGTTCAAATTATCTAAATATTTATTGAGAAATATTTATATATATAAAATTTATTACTTAATGTACTATATTTAATTAAAAATATTAATCAACTATACGCCGATATAATTGGTACAATCACACATCCAATCAGTGAACGATTGAATATGTAGTTTGAACGATTCGATGACCGGTCTGATGCTAAGAACATTGAAATCCAGATATTGTTTTTGTAATTATATTTTTCTCTTACTAATTTGAGAGAATGAGTGATAGAAACATATAGAAAGCAACCATACTCAATGTTCCTTAGAAGTGCGACTTTGGTAATAAGGAATTTGTAAATGTTGTTATTGTTTTTGTGTAAAGAACCCAGTTAGCACATATGGGTCCTGATTCTGAAGAAGATATTTTTTTATCCTCAAGACATAATTCTTCCCTCCTTATACAATAATTGATGGACAGAATATTCATCATTAAATTAAATACAATTTAAATCCAAGTACATTTTTTTCAGGAGTTTTTTCATGGGAAAAAAAAAAATAATAAAAAAATTAAGCAAATTGCTGACATAACTATAAGCCAATGCATGGGCCATGCTGCAGATGATAAAACTACTCAAAACATTTTTATATGGACTAAGTTGCCTATAACATGCTTCCAAGTTCCAAACCCTTAACATGTTTTTCAACGACATAATCATGAAATCAGTTGTGTTAGAAATAATAGCTAAATCATCAGACAGAGGTCCCCTATTTGTCTAGGAGAACACCAGTAAATGCCATAGCCAAGAAAAAGAGAGCTTGGAAAAAACAGACAAATTTTTAGGTCCCCTTATGGATTTAGACCAACATACATACAGCCATTGAGCTGTCTTACTTCGTTTCACCAATCCATTTCTACATTTGGGTCTGTTTTCGATATCTACACATGCGAAAGTCAGATATATGAAATTGTGGTTGACTTTCTTAGCTCTGCAGAAAATCGAATCAACAAAAGAGAGTTTCACACACTTTCTATATATTCTTCGACTTGCACGTGAGGTAAGATGCTCGATATAAATAAAGTTGAAACAATGTCATATGGACTATTTATTGATCAAACCAATATTTCATAAGAGAGCAAACATGATGTGGAGTGCCAAATAATATTGGACCAAAAGCGCTAATTATGGACTTGCTGCAATATTTGTTTGGTTGTAAGATGATTTTGGCTTAGTGATGATACTCTGCACTTGTGTCTGTATTGATTCCGATTGTTACCAGAAAGATTCGAACACTGTATCCGGACTAGTAAACAAAAGAATGACACAAGATTTTGTATGAGGCGGCCTAACGGTTAGGTAGGTGAACATGTCATACTTTTTAATAAAAGAACATACTTATGCTGAAAAAAGTCATGCTTATGTCTAGCCGTAAGGTCAACCTAATAATAGTTGAATGCTTACGTCTAATCGTAAGATCAGCGTAACAGTAAATCCTAATAATAGTTGAATGAATGACGAGTTCTTTTCAGAACTTTTGAAATGGTAACGTGATTATTGATTTCGATACGTAATTACTCGTTAAAATAGCTTATGTAAGATTAATTAACTACTAGGGCAAGCTCTTAAGAGACTAACAAAAGTAAGTTTAGTGGCCATGCAAAGTGCACGCTTTAAGGCTAGCAATTTGGTCAAGTGCCCTGACAAGTTTAATCTAACTGTGTGTTGTTCTGCTTGTTAGTGCAAATAGTTGCAAATTAATCTTTGGCAGCAAAAAAATGTAAAAATAGTCATCCTTTGCCATTAGAAAAAACCAATCCAAATCAATACAAGATAAAACATATATAAACATTGACAAAAACAACTATTAATATCTTGTGCAAAGGCGAACTATCAATTGAAGTTTAGACATGCCCGTCGGCCTGGCCCGCAACCGGCCCGGATTTCGCCAGTTCGTTGAACCGGAACCTTGGACATGCGGTCCGGTTCCGGTTCCTAGTTAAACCGGCCAAAAATCGGCGGGTTTGTGACCTGGCGGTTCAAGGCCGGTCCAAACCCGCGGCCCTTAGAAAATGTCGGGCCGAACAAGGGCCATGAAGTTGAGACCCACGGACCTGGCGGGCTGGGCCGAGCCGTGAGCCGGCCCGTTGACTGGCCATCTCTAAATTGTAGTAACGCAAAATCTACATTGAGTTCACTAGTAACCTTGATTTTTTTTTTTTTTGGTTCGTAATGATATACTTAATTACTGACTATACAATAACTAACCAATTGAATAAATCAGCAACTCAGCTAAATCTAGTTGGGAGGACTACACAGTTGTGTCCTAGAACCAACCTAAAATAAGCAAAAAACACAAAAACTAAAACTGAAAACAAACTCCCACAAGTGAAGAATAACAACTCGCAACATGAGAATAAGGATACAAAAGCACATAAGAAAACGGAAAAGCCTAATAAACGAGAATAATATTTTCCCAACCAGCCAGAAAACCACCCCGAACCGTCTCCACTCAAATCAACTCCAAAATCAACTTGTCACAACAATTTTCGTGTATTGAATTTATAAACACGAAAAATATTTTACAAATGAATTTTTCGAATCAAATAAATATAGCGGGTTACAATATCTATTATTCCTCTGATTCTTCTCACGAACGATCTTGAGTCTTGGAGCAAAATCTTCGGCTTGATCTTCTTCTTGACTTGATTTGACTTGAATTAACGTTAATCCAAGGGTCAACACCTTGATTTCGGATCGTAATATCCCAAGAACGCAAAGAACACGGATCCTTGGTCTTCGCCGGAAAGTAGATCTTGAATCTTCTCCACGTCGGTTTTGAGTTTAGTGATGTTATTCGGAGGCTTCGTAACTTATTTTCCAGATTGAACGCCAGTCTTGAGGTTGAACGCGCTTGAATCTTGCTTCGAATCTTCAAGAATGCCTTTGAAGCATCAAGAACACTTGAATCTCGTCAAGAGAATCTCTAGAGCTATTGAACTTGAATATGAATTATGATGTGTGTTTTTGGGTTTCAGGCAGAGCCCCTATTTATAGGTGTAGGAGAGATAATCCTACCAAATTCAAGAATCGTAGGACGCGATTTGATTGGTCCACGATGATTCACATAAGATCTTTTGGATCTACTTAGATCTCTCAGGATCTTCTAAAAGATATGTGATTTATTTACCAAGAAATAAGATTTTACACTTGTCATTATTTGATTGTGTTTCTTTGTGGAAATGTGTTTTTGGGCTTGAGTTCTCATTGGCTCAAGTGTGGCTTAAGCTAAATGAAAAATGCTAGTTTGGTTTTGAGTAATGCCCGGAAATGGTTTTAAATTGAAAAACGAGTTTTGAAAAAATTATTCTTATTTTAATAAACTTGGGATTAGACATGGCCGCGGGCCGGACCGAGAACAGTCCCGGACCGGACCGAACCGGCCACATAAGGGCCGGTTCGTTGGACCGAACCACATAGGGCAGCGGTTCTGTCCAGGT